TAATTGATTCTGTTCGCCCGTGCCTTGTATCTTTTTCCCTGATTACCTCAAGTGTATTTAAGCCCTCAGTTTTCTTTAGTTCTCTGTCATGTTGTACTGTTTGTCTGCCTCAGTGATTTCGTCTCCTGTTTTCTTCAGCCACCTGAATTTGCTGCTTGCATTGTATAAAGGTTTATTTTTCATTTCCTCAAATCAGTCTTGGAGTCTGCATTTGCCTCTTAATTCCTAGTGATGCGCAAATGAAGCAATGAGTCAGTATTGAACTACTTAATCAATTGTATTGAAAATAGGTTCTAGTGGCAAAATAAGACAAAGCAAAACAATGTCTCAATAATCATGTGCTGAGTGCAACAAAGGTTTTTATGATTGATACAAATACAACAAAAACAACTGCATTGTAGCAGTTGGAAGCAGTTGGAAACAGGATGTGGTGGGATGGTAGGGTGTGCTTGTGTAACTAAAGCGGGGTGTGACTAATCTTACATGGGAATGGGATTTAAAGACTTTTAATCACAATTTTTTTTTTGACATTGGTTTGTTTTTGTTTTTTATTTTCTTGCTAGCAACTTCTCCAGCTTTTGAAAACACACATACACATGGAAATAAAATGTTACAAAGAATCTCATGTAGCAGTATTGATTGCTTCAAGCAGATTCAAGGTGGAGTAGATGTGAGGAGACATCACGGGCCAAGTGTTTGTTTGTCTGCCCTCCGGCATCGAAGTAAGCTTTGAAGCAGTGGTTCAAGGAAAATGCCAATTGGAGTTGGAGGCTTGTATTGGAGCCTCGGTGTCATATGGCCATTACTACTAATCCCCCCTAAACAATGACAGCTTCATAGACATGTTGTAGTGAATGACTATAACAAATAATTACCAAGTTGAATACAATGACTGTTTTTAAATGTAGGTCTTTCTGAAAAGACCTACATTTTTCACCAAATCAAAATAAAACAGACAAATCACAACAAATGTCGCCTTGAGGCGACATTTGTTGTGATTTGGCGCTATATAAATAAAATTGAATTGAATTGAATTGAATTGAAAAGTGAAACTAGGTAGGTGAGCGTGAGTTGTTTATACGTCAGTGAAATCCAGCCACTCAGCCAACTTGTTCTACAGGTAGAACAGGAGACACATTCATTAGCAGAGACACGCAAAGCCCAGCCAAGTCTAGCAGTTCTTTGTTTCAAAGCACTTTTTACAAAGTACAGGTTCTGTCCTATGAAAAAATTTAAAACCAGACTAAAATCCCTTAAAAACATATTATAAGTCTAAAAAAAAAACCTCTGTCAACTGTACATAGAGTCTTTTTTCCTAAAATGTTTGAAATAAGGTAGCTTGGAGATTGCTCTAAAATTGGACAGCACGATGGGAGCCAGGTCAGACTTTCTAATTTGAGGTTGCATTATTGTATAAAAGAAAAATAATAAAAAATACAATTTTATTTATATGGCACCTTTCTAGACAGAGTCACAAAGTGCTGCACATAAGCCTACAGTCTTTTGGAGTTACAGTCAAGGACAAGCTGCTGTTACTAACAAGAGCTGCTTACAACAAATAATTACAACAGACAACAAGCTCTATACAATAACAACAATCAACTCATTAACTGAAACATAGTCTGTAAAGCAATGCTATTACACTGTTTACTGCAACAATGTTGCGACTCTCACACTGGCAGTAGTAACAAAGTATCAGCCTGGCTGAACTTATTTTGAATGGAAACAATTAAACACAACCCTGACAAGCTAAACTTTCATGAGTAACAGTCTGACTATGGTATTAATAAGAAATGCATCCTCGAGGCTTACTTACTGCAATGGTGAATCTGTCACCAGAGGCTGTTGCTGCCAAAGCTCGAGCTACAATTTTGGCTCAGCTTCAGGTCTCGCTCTTTCGCGGTTCATAAAGAAATTTGCAATACAATTTATTGTGCACTTACAGTTTACACAACAGTGTTGTGAACAAACAGGAAATAACACAACAAACAAACACAGGTAATATAAAATTGTGACTCTAGGATTAACAGAGAGTTGGTGAAATTAACTCTCTGTTAATTTCACCAACAGAGAAATTGTTGGTATACTAGAATTAGTACACCTCTCTAAGGAACCACACCCTTAATACTCATCCACATGGTATGCTCCTCTCTTCTACCTCTAACACTGAAAAGTGAAAATGTAAATTGTATGAGTCACACTGAAAGGGCAATTACGCATCATCATGTATTAAGGCTGTTACACACTGAAGGCATTACGTTTTTGTGAAAAATTCCTCCTCAATAAACGCACAGTGAAAACTAAAAATGAAGTTGACTTCAAACAATGATGAGCTGAGAAAAGTAGGAAACTAAGAAAACAGCAGAATTTATTGTTGGATCCAGAAGCTGAAGCTGTGTGTTCGTACATAGTTCAGGATGTCAGTGGGGCAGTTTGAGGTGTTATTGGCAGAGTTGGGACCAGATATGAGGAGGCAGAGAAATCATTTCACAGAGCCGACTGAACCGGAGCATCGTGTAACTGTGTGTCTGATGTAAATAATATCACGTGACTATTTCCATCTGTGTATTCAGTACGAGTGCGATGTCAGTTAAGATCGCACTTGTTGTCAAACCCAATGGCCTGGTCAGGTATTTGGATCCGAAAAATAGGACAAAGAATTAATTCCACTATTTACCCAGGATTTCAGTAAAGTTGCTCTGCTTCTAATCAATCCCACCTCATCTAACGTTCATTTACAGAAACCTTTTTTCAAAACCTCCTGGAATTCTTCAGCTCAAACTGTCAGTGTGAACAGCTGCATAAAGAACAGATGAGTCTGAAAAATATTTGTAACCCAGGAAATATATGCACGGATTTTACTTGTCCAGTGTGTAAAAGCCTCAAGTTTTGTCTTAAGGACTAAATAATTTTGCATCATATTTTAAATATCTTACGAGAAGATGAACGATTTCCTGCAATTGAAGTATGACAAAGTAAAAACATGTTAGCAACACTTTTGCATATTCTGGGCAGGTATTTTTCTGTTAGGTTTCCCGTGTTTAGTCAGTTTTTGTCTGAGTTTTTACTTTGGTCTGTCCAGTTTTTATCTTAGTCGGTGAGTAGGCTTCCTGTTTTATTTTGATAGTCTCTCGACTTATGTACTTTACAGTAATAATGATAATAATAATAATAATAATAATAATAATACCTTTATTTATAAAGCACTTTCAAACAAAGTTACTTTTGTATTAATGGTTCAGCTTTATAGACATGCTGTAGTTAGTGGCTACAACAAATATTTACCATGTTGAATACAATGACTTATTTTATTTTTGTAGGTCATTCACTAATGAAAAGCCAAAGAAGTATCTAAATAGTTGTTTATAGGTCACTGAATTCCAGCCAGCTTGTTCTACAGGTAGTACAAGACACACATTCACGAGCAGAGATACACCAAGCCCAGCCGAGATACTTTATTTATATGGTCCTTTGAAGTTCTGACTAAGGTGCTTAACATTAAGAACACAGTACAAATGAAAACAAGGCGTATCGCAGCTGCAGACAGCCCTATAGAAGTGGCTAACAAAACCATGGCGTTAAGCTATGTTTGAACCAAAACTGCAAACAGATACAACAAAACTTGAACATAAAAAGGAAAGGTAACACCTTCTTTAGAATTTCTCAGCACTATCTCATATTAAATGTTCTTGTTTTTCCTTGCAAACAAACACATTTCTAGCACTGTAAAGCTACTGGGGGAAGAAAAATCACTCAAGCCCCTCGCTTAACTGACAAAATCTTGTGTTTG